TCAAATGAAATCATAAATAGGGGAAATGGATTTGGGACTCTAACACTGCACATTTATCATCCTAAGAGTGGAAAAAGGTAAAGTATTCTGCTTAATAATGATTAATACAGATTGAATGCATCAGGGTGGCTTATTCAATGCAACAAAAAAAAAAAATTCAAATCCAGCCCTACATTTTTGTTGAGGTGGAAGAGCATGCACCCAGCTCGAGAAGAAATCTTCCTCTGAGCCTCTTTAATATTTTAAACCTCTGCAGACTACTGATGTACTGCAAGACAGCCACTCTTAACTTTGTTAATTCAGCCGTGAGAGCACCTTCACCATGTTTATTTATCTAGCCAAGCTCTACCTGAGGAGCTGCATGTCAAAAGCCATTAGGCTGACATCCCCTAAGCAAACCCTCCAAGCCAGTGAGAGAGCCCTGCTAACAGATACCCTTGAAATAAGCAGGAATGAGCAATGTCAAGGAACTTCACAGAGAACCTATGAGTTCAAAACCTGTCAGCCCGTGAAAGTGTCTGAGGTCGCTGCTCATCATGACTCTCTTGATTGACAAAAATACATCAAGATGATAGCTGAAATTCTTGATTTAGTTCATGCAAAGCTTCTGAAAAATACCATGATTTTTAGCTCCAGCTGCATGCATGGAGCATTATTATGTATTTTTCTGGCATCTCCACATTAAAAGGATTAAACTGAAGTGTTGCTACTGTTATTATTAATTTAGAAAACGTTACAGTGCCAAGCTCTGACAGCATCAGCAAGAGTGAACAAATCCTGGCAAATATGATCACTACTTGCTTTTTCTCAACCCTGAGTGATTTCTAAGAGGATAAGAAGTGCTAAACCACACTCAGTCACAAATCTTTGATGAACGACACAAATTCTACAATCCACATGAAGATTTAACTTAGCCTACATCTTGTCATTTATAAATGTAATGCTTTGCAAACACAAGAAAAACCAATCTCCATCATCTGTGCCTTATAGCAGTGATAATATATGGCCTGGGGTTTGAGCAGAGTATGGCAAGCCAATTTAACATTTATCCCTTAAAACTAAGTAACACTTATTTTAATTACTAATAATTCATTAGAGGCAAGTACCTATTCAAACAGTCGCTAGTCACTAGAATTCATTATATCCTAGTGGTCAATTGCTTCAAGTGAGTATCCCAAAAGTAATTGCAACTTTTGCCTTTGAAAAATGAATTATTCCCACTCAACTAGTTTGTATTCAAATTGTTGCTGTCACTCAAGTTTAACTAATAATTATTAAGGTACTCAAACATTTTTAGTTAGCTACTTATTCTACTAGTTAGCTACTACCCAGCAAACAGGGGACGTCCCCCGGACATTCCGAACGTCCATTTAGGTCCGCAGTATGTCCGGATTTGGTCCGCTGTGTAACGTTTGCTGGCGGATGTTTTAAGGACGTCCACTTACGTCCGCATTTGGTCCTCTTTTTGACGTTCGCTGACGGACGTTCTGAGGACGTCCTCATTTGGTCCTCTTTTTGACGTTCGGAGGACATTCGTCGGAGCCAGTTTGCGAACGTCCCCGTTTCGTCCCTCATCTGCCATTTCCATTACAACACTTGAAAAATCCAGTCGCCCATGCGTGGGCTTTTATCATCAGACCTGACCAGTGTTGGGGAGTAACTAGTTACACGTAACTACATTACGTAATTTAATTACAAAATAAATGTAACTGTAATCTGTTATAGTTACTGAGAAAAAAAGTGTAATTAAATTAGTTACTTATAAAAATGTTAATGATTACAAATATGTTAATAGTTACATCTGAATATTTTCACACATATACATATTTAAAATATGAGACACCAATGTTTCAGAGTTGAGGACACAGAATAGGACACATGCTTATTCGATAACTGTTTTATTTCCTATTTTTGGGTATTTTTGTATATGAATTTTTTTTTTTTTTTTTAAGATTAACTGTTTTTTTTTCATTAAATTATTATAGGCCTAATCTTAATTCAAGTGAAGAAGGATTCTGAAACTCTGACAGTAATCAGTGTTGAGTACCACTGTAACGTTAGTAACGTTAACCCTGCCTGCTTTAAATGTTTCAAAAGTCTTCAATGAGAAGAGGAAGGGGTGATTGTTGCTGGTTACTGTATGATGTTTGAAATTGCGAAATGGCCTTAAACAATTAGTAAATAAACTGCAGAATGTTATGCTTTCTAATACACATGCGCATTGCATGTATTCTGACAGCCATGCAAGAACTCGCAGCAGATCTGCTTGTTAACCAGGGTTCAAAGTCCAAAGCA